ATATATATATATATATATATATATATATATATATATATATATATATATATATATAACTTTTGAAGGTTACCTTTAAGAACATAAGGATCTGATCTTGGAAACATGTACATACAAGTAACTTTTGTAAGCAGTCCTGTTGAACTCAATGTGAGCACACACATTGGGAAGCAAGTTGCCCAATAAATGTTTGTGGGATCAGGCTAAAATACGTTAGTTCAATAGCTTGGGAGAAGTTTGGTAGGAGGAGGCAGCAGCTGTTGGAAAATAACTGCTGACTCATTTATACTGTCTCTCCCCTATGTCACTTGGGGCTGATTGATTTTCTGGGCCAAAATGCAAAGACTTATCAGCACTTTCAGTATTGTATGTTACTCAGAAAAGTTTCTCTCTGTATTGTCATGAAATGTATATAACTCATCTCTTTCTCTCTCTTTTTTTGTAGTCTGCAACTGTGTCTGATGGAGGTAAGCTCAAATTTGTTGTCACTTTTATTAGTATTCAGAAAATCAAAGTTCCCACATTAAATAGTGTGGTAAAGTGTGATAAATAAAATGCCATATGACAAGAAGTGTTTGCTTGATAAACATGATGGGCCCATCCTGCAGTCCTTAATGATGCACTGACTTCAGTAGGAATTGTGCCTATGAAAATCCTGAAGGATCAAGCCTAATGTTTACATGTTATATTCCTTTGTTTACTTACATAATTTTTTCTGGCATATGCATTTAAATAAATGCATGTTATTACAACTAGAATTCTTCATTTGTGATTTTTTAAAAAGTTGATCTAGTAGGATATTATTAAATTGGGAACTGATGAAATCTCACTCTCATTTTTTAAATATCCTTTATGTACTGTATATTCTTTCACCATTGCACTTTTCATCAACAGCATTTCATTTTACATGTTAAAACAAGTTTTTTACTGTTTTGTCTTGCAGAGACTGCTCCTAGCTCATAGGTTAGGTGTGATCTCAGAGCTCTTGTTGAGGCTAAAAGGAGTTTCTTTTTATAACGAAGTAATGCATTCATTTTAGATAAATAAGATGGCATCCTTAAAAACTGAATAAATGTAACCCAACCTGAAGTTCTTGCTGTTCTGGGATAACTATTGGGTCTGAATAAGTGGGTTTTTTACCCACGAAAGTTTATGCCCAAATAATTTGTTAGTCTTTAAGGTGCTACCAGATTCCTCGTTGTTTTTGTGGATACAGACTAACATGGCTACCCCTCTGATATATACTCTGATATCACTATCTATGCTACATTTTGTGATGAGCGATCAGGAATTGAGAAGAGGCTATCTAACTCTTTCATTTGAGAACTCTGAACCAAATTCCACTATTAAGATTAGCATTGCTACTTGGGCCTCCTACTATGCTGGGCTTCAAATAGAGATAAAGAATTGTGTTTAAGTTCAGTTGAATGGCAGTTCCAGCTAATTAAGGTTCTAATATGGTTTGGCTGGCAAAAGTTTGGTAGAAACTTATTTAAAAACAAAATATTTTTAGCTAAGTTGTAACTAGTGACTGAAGAAATTCAACAATTGCTGTACATTTTAAAAAAAACAAAAACAAAAATGTGTTCTATGTAGGCGAGAACATACTCTTTTAGCATGGCCCTTGCACCATTTGGACCCATACATATTAACCAACCAAGTTGTGTTAGAAACCAGTTTAGCTGGAACAGTTTAAATATGATTCCTTAACAGTATACAAGGCCTTTAGTATAGCTTAGGTTTGCTATACTAAACAGCAAACAGGTGGTTTGCTTCTAGAGTTGCCTCACTTGGTCCTGCGAAGGATCAGTCTTGCGTGTATTTTACCCATTTTGGCTTTCTTCAAGTACTGTATAATATATACTGTTTTATTAGGCAAAAGGACGCAAACATCTGTTTAAGAAACAAGCGAACTAAAACGAAAGAAAGATTCTGAAGCTGGAGGAGGGTAGAGTTAGTTGCTTGTTTTTTTTATCTAAGTGGAAGAGTAGCAAAATATATTCACAGCAGCTCAGACTCATAGACTTTAAGGTCAGAAGGGACCATTATGATCATCTGGTCTGACCCCCTGCATGTTGCAGGCCACAAAGCCATCCCTACCCTTTCCCTTGACTCTGCTGTTGAGGTCCCCAAATCCTGGTTTAGTGACTTCAATTGGCAGAGAACCCTCCCGCTAGCGATCCCTGCCCCATGCTGCGGAGGAAGGCGAAAAACCTCCAGGGCCTCAGCCAATCTACCCTGGAGGAAAATTCCTTCCCGACCCCAAATATGGCGATCAGTAGAACCCCGAGCATGTAGGCAAGAGTCTCCAGCCTGACCCTCGTTAGCCATTATACTATTTACCTGCCATGGCACGGTATTCCTTTGGCTAAAATCATGTTTTTCCATTAAACCATTCCCTCCATAAACTTATCTAACTTAATCTCTCGTTATTCATTCCTCCCCTATCTTTCTTTGTCATTTCTTATAAAAAATGAGGCCTGTTTGGGCTTCAGCCAGAAATAAAACCCTAGACAGAGTTGACTGTGTCATTTTGCTAGCAGCTAACTTATCCCATCAGGTATTTTCTCTTCTTCAGCTGTCACCACTGTCACAGCACTCGGATGGGAGGTAGAACATAGTCTGTTTTGAAGCCCACCCACTAATTTGCCATGGGATAACGGGGGAAAAGGCAGTGTGCACCTATTCCATCTCTTGTTTCTTAAACAGAGGTTATATCTTCACTGTAAAAAGGTGTGTTTTTACAGTGAGTAGTCTGTCTTGATGGAATATTCTAGCAGAGACAAGGCACAGGTTTTTGTTGTTGTTTTTTTTTTAACCTCAATGTAGCTAGTCAAGATAAAAACCCTAGGTGAAAGGTGTAGGGTTGACCCTGACTGACTATATCGAGATAAAAACTATAATGCCTTGTCTCCACTAAGATTTTACATCCAGTTAGCTCTCTTGAGTTTCCCATCTCAGTGTAAAAATACATCTTTTTATCTGTAATCAAGACATAGACATAGCCTAACATGCAGACAGTGTTTCTAGGTTTACTAATCTGAATATTGTACAGACAGCTAATTCCACAAGAAATGATTTTTGTGTCCTGAAAGTTTATGTATTCTAAATTTGTTGGTCTGAAAAAAGATTATCTGCTTGTCTACAATGAAAAGTATTTCTCCTTCATGGCAAATCTAATCTCCATTGGCTGAGGAAATGGGAACCCTGAAGTAGCACTCCCTTGATAGTAACATCAAGCACAGTGTACTTCCATTTGTCAGTTTTATTAGAGATCTCTGGCTTGTCATGTTCCGCTCCTCCAGTATTGTTACTGAAGTTATTTTCAAGTCTAGGGATAATTGTATTTTCACAATTAATACTGTAGAATTTGGTGGAGTCGTGAAGTCTGAGGGCTGTGTAGGTTGCAGAGGTAAAAGAACAGATTGTAACTTGCACTCAGTATTCTGTTCTATATCCTAGTATTTTATCTGTCTTGTCAGTTAGTGCTGAAGATTTAACACCATACACTCTCTCAGTTTTTAAGGTACCAGTGGGTCCTAAGTTCTGTACAAAGCTATAAAATATAGACTATGTGAAGAATAATATTTAATAAATGCTTAACTATATAGAAGATAAACTGGAAAAATAAGATCCAAGATAAGGGAGTGAAACCAGAAAAATTGAATAGAAATAAAATCTTAACTAATTTCAGCTATAGCTTCACTAGGTATAATGTTCTGATTAATGTCTATACGACAATTTCAGACTTTTACTTTCTTTGAAAATGTCACAGCAATGATTTTTTTCTATTTTTTTTTTATTTCAGCACTTCATTAGAAGACCCACAGAATTACGTATTTTCAGGCTTGTCTAGGTTAGAGGAATTTGCTCCAGTGTAACACCATTAATATAGTTGCACAATGCAAATTTCCCTTACCTATACAAGCCATTTATGTTAGTATGTCCACTTGTAAAAATAATTATGTCTATTTAAATCTATCCTTGCAACTAGAACAGGGGGCACGGCAACTTTTTTTCTCTCAAATCACTAGTGCCTCATGTTATGTAAAAGCTTTACATTAGAGTCTGGCTTTGGATGCTGATTGCTCAAAGCTGTATTCAATCAGATTGTGTACTAACTCCAAATGTGCACGTTTGGGTTGTCACCACCAAAATAAAAAGGTATATATCCCGCTGGCCAACATTTTCAGATTTGGACACCTTCAGTTATGTACCCGAATCCAGATTGAGACAAATTAAATAAATGGCTTGGTTTTCAGAAGTGCTATGCAGCTACTGCACTCATTTAAGTCAGTAGGATTTGATAGGGTTTGAGCACCTCCTAAAATCAAGTCACTTATTTAGGTGCCTAACTTAAGACACCCAAGTTGTCATTTTCTTCAGTGGGTGGGAGGAAAAAGATCATTATGGGGAAATTATAGTAAGTACATTTCCCTTGAAGTGTTAATAGATATTTGAAAATAAGTCTTACAGGCTGTCACTGAAGGAAGGCTAAACCTATAACCTCTCTTCCTCCTGTATTTCCTCTCCTTCATCCCTCTGCCCTCAACTGACCAGCTGCCCTTTGTACAAGGTGAAGAGTTCTTCTAAATCTAACTTACTTGAAGCTGAATTTTGAGCTCTTAACAAACTCACAGTTCACACACCAAATTCCGTCCTCAGGGCAATAAAAATACCAACTTTGTGAGGGTTAAAAAAACTGGCTCAGTTTTTCTTTGTGCATGTCATTGGGAAAATATTAAGGGCAGTAGCCTATCAGAACAGAGGGATTTGCATAACCAGTGTGGAGTTATTCAGGAATAACTGTACATATACTACTCTCTTCAGATGGACTAATGGTGATCAGCTAAAGAACAGGGATTTACTTACTGAATAATAACTGAGAAATAAACAATAAAATCTGATTTACATAATGACTCACAGTTAGTGTGACCAGATGTCCCGATTGTATAGGGACAGTCCTGATTTTTGGGGCTTTTTCTTATATAGGCACCTATTACCACCCACCTCCTGTCACTATTTTTCACACTTGCTATCTGGTCACCCTACTCACAGCCAGTCAAAATGCAGAAAATCATAAAATTGAGAAACGAGGTTATTGGTACGGATCAGTAACTGTACTGCACCTTTGCCCTGGGATCTGCAGAAACCATTTTATTTCACTATCGTTTCTTGTAATTCTTGTTCTCTGAGGCTGTGTCTACAATAGCCTTTTCTCCCCACACTTCCAACTATTGGTACCATTGGTACAGTGGGAGCACTAGCATCAATAGAGTGCAGGTTTGCTGGTGTTTCAAACATTGTGCCATTTAGGCCAACTCAGAGAGACAGTAGTTAAAATGCCAGATGTCTTCACTCCACTCTTACCATTGCTATCACTGATGGAATTTCACAAGGGGGAAATTTTAAGCATAATATAGTGTTGACAAGGTCAGTGGGTATACATTTACAGGATATCAGCACT